GGTGGCTAGTGTCCGTGATTTTTTCTCAATTTTTTACATTATACAATATTTTCGTATTTATATATTTGATGTAAAATAGTTTTTTTAATTTTTTTTATTTTCAATCTATTTTTTTAAAATTATCAAGTGATTTGAGTTTTAAAATACTTATTGGAAAGCTGGATCTCTTAGAAGCTGTGATACTATATAAAATTTAATTATTGAATTTAAATTTCATTTAAAAGATTTAAACTTGATGATAAATAATTCATTCTAAATCTTTTATATTATTTAATATTATTATATTTATTCAATATGAGAGAATATTTCTAACAATTTATAGCATGAATAATTATCTTAAATATATCTATTCGAATGCTGCGATAAAGCTAGAAATGTTTGTAAAGATGATAAGTTTTTCCATAGATAAGAAATAAAAAAATATTAAAACAAGAAATTAATACAGCATTTTTATTAGAAACATGAAAAAGGTGAAAGGGACTAAAATTGGAAGTACAAAAAAAATGAAGGGGGCAACCCCCACTTCTCTAATGCATAGATTGATCAGATTCTATGGAATAAAAAAGGACGAGTATTCTTCTTAACATGAGTCAATCCCTCTAGAATAGTAGTATTACAAGTACAATTTGCAAAATAAAAAAGAATGAATTTGTGAGTAACATGAGGTGCAGCTAGTAATTGACTAAAGACCAGAGACAATTTGTTAAGGTGGTTTAACAGCTGCCGAGAAAAAAAAAAAAGACTTCTGAGGTAAATTAGGTTTCACGTCCCCATTATTGTCTCCCTCGATTCCTATATATTTTCTACCCAATTTTGTTTGTCTTAACGTAAGGTGAATACTTTTCTCAATTCAGTAAAATTCACAGGAAAGGACCACATGAACCTAAAAAGAGCATAGCAAGTTAAAAAAATAGACAACAAGGAGTGAGATTTGCAAGAAGTACTTAGCTGATCGTTTTTTCATATAGAAATGGCATATCCACGAGGTTTTCTCTTCTTTGTCAGGGGGTTGGATTTAAAATGGCTTCCATGCTTTTCGATTCAACAAAACTTAGCAGAAATTAAATAGTCGTATATCCAGAAAAGCATTTCTTGGCAAGTTCAATTATTCCATAAGCGCGATTTCTTTTTCCTTCTTTTTAACAACGGCATTAATTGGATCTCACATTCTCACTTCACCGCATTGTTCGCGTCCGTTTCACATCGTTCTTCGTACTTCACCTTTTCTTCTGTCATGTGGAAAATTCTTTTTGTGAACCTGTTGTTCGATTCTTGTTTTTGCTAGATCGATCTTTTCCTGTCTCATTTGTCTCGAAACCCTTCTCGTTAATTTTTTACAGCAACTGTTGTTCCACAATTAGTTTAAAGAGGAGGCCTTAAGAAAGAATTACAACTAGCTGAAAAAATAAGTAATCATATATGTACGAAATGATTACGACTTGGATCAAATATTTCACTACAAAGGGAATTCATCACCTAAAAAATTGGGGGAATGAGGGAATTAAACGGAAAAAAGAAAGGAAGGATTTGAAGCAACAGGTTTGAGATAGCCTTTATGATATTATACTGATATAGATGTTCCGTAATTAGTTTTTAGATGAACTTCTTTTCTTTTTTTATCATTTTTTCTTTCTTGATAATTTTTTTTCCTCTTTATTACTTTACCTTCAATCCACATGATTTTTTTTCCAAAACTTTCTCCGGCTCATGAGTGTCAGGCATGAGGACGAGTCAAGATAATATGACCATAACTTAATTTATTATTATCTTTATTCTAAAACACAGTCAAATTATTTACAATATTTTGATAAAAATATTTTCAACTTTTTTTTTTAATTTATTATCCCACCTGACTCAATCTAATAAGGGTCGATCTTTCATTTCCGATTCTATGAATCAAAGCAGTCACTAAAAAAGAAAAAGCATATTAAGTAAATTTCCATAACATCAATTGTATTGGGAGTTTCACAAAATTGAATTGTTCTCCTCAATAAAACGACTCTTGATCCAATTCCTCAGCATAAGGCAAGGTGTTGTCTTGTTTTTTTGAAAGTTTTTTTGTCGAATAAAATAAAATTAATTTAAAATCATTTCCATTCACGAGATTTTTCATGATTAATACATAAATTGATGATGTATAAATTAAGGTTTTTTTTATATATCTTTCCTTAACATTTATATAAGTTTTTAGTTCTTTTTTTTTTTCAAAATAATAATTAAGGACATTTTGCATATAAAAGGAGGCTTGTAGTTTTTTTAAAAAAAAATTCAGAGAGTTTCTAAGAAATATAAAACATTCAAAGTTTTGGATACTTACAGTAATTTCGTCATGATAACCCTCATAGAGATTATTGTAATTTACCCTTCTTATTCTTAATTTTTAGGGTTTTGTTTCGTATTGTATTATAATTAAATATAATATAATATAATGAGAGGTATATAAATTTTTTTAATCGAATAATAGAGATATATAAGTTTTTATAGAAGTTTAAGATAAATAGTTTGATCATTTAATTTAATTTATTTATTTTTTATCGGGAATCTTTTGATTAACATAATAAGAATATTTTGATTGAACCACTACTTTTTATATATAAATATAGATAACAAAAATAGTGGTGAGCCTCTTAACTCCTTAATTAATTCAAACACAACCCCCCCCCCCCCCCATATATGAGATTAGGATATGCCTTTGGATAGTCTCGATTGAAAAAAATTTCAAATGTGATCCACCATGATTAATATAAAGATGTGTTAGTGATCTGTATTATACCTTAATTAAAAATGTATAGGAATATTAATTGATAATCCAACTCATGGATGTTTTAGGCTTTGTGTTTGGTATGGTCACAACACCACTAATCAACATTATTGCATTTATACGTGGTCTTATTTGAATATTAATTTAGGATTCTGAATCTTTCTGTCTCGTATTCGTTAATTAGGGTGGCAGTATTCATATATTTGCAGGACATACTGGAAACAACGCTGCACAATGAAGCGCCGGCAACTCTCTCTCTCTCTCTCTCTCTCTCAAATAACATGAATAGTTTTTTTTTTTTTTTTGCTATCAGAAAAGGAACTGCTTGATGCTGCCTAAACTATAAATACGTAAAGAATCCCTCACGTTCAAGCTATATGCTAGATTCTGGTGGTAAGTAATTAAGTTAATTTGTTTTCATATTTTTTTATAATTTCAAGTCGAGCTTCTTTTTTCTTTTTTCATAAATACATTTTTTCAAGAATGAATAATGGTCCCGCTAAAGTTTGATAGAAATTTTTTTTGTCACAGTACACAAAATTTGAACAGAATATACCTTAATTATTAGAAACAAAAAAAAAGAAAAAAAAAAGAGGAATTTTCATCATCCAAGGGTATATTTACAATTAGTTATTAATGCTATTCGTTTCTTTTTCAAGAGGGCACCCTCTTTTTTCGTTTTTAGGTATTTTGTTTCAGGTGCGAAATAATACCTCTCTTTTTTTTTTTTTTTTTTCCCTTTGACTAACGCTATTTTAATTGTGCTAAAGTCGTAACTGTGTCAACAGAGAGGTCTCTCCCCATCGGTCGCAAAGTTTGATTGACCAAAGGTACCTTGATTTTGGGCCTGCAATAGCTTAGTAAAGCATGAAAAAAGTCATAATGGTTCGTATTTAGGAGGAAATATCGGTTATTTAAACTAGAGATTACATCTTTATGTTTGACTCAATTACAGTATGTAATTAAACTTCTCGTTCTCAAAAAAGGAATAATATGATATAATTTGTTTTGTAAAAGTAAAAAAATTTAAATCAGTCATTTAAATAACATGAACTTTTTGCATTCGGAGTAGGTAAAATACGAATTCACAATCTTTAGATCTATAAAAAATTATATGATCCCAATAAATTTAATAGCCACGTGAATTTGCATATTTATGTATCTTGCATAAAAAAAATTATTTGTTTATATAATATTCAAAAGTCTATACTCATCTTGCTCAATTTTTTTCAGAAAGTAAATACTCAATAGTAGTTATGAGTACCAATTTACCATGATTGTGGTTTCAAATTTCTAATTTTTTTACCGATTTTTGAATATTTATATGCAAGAGAAAATTGTCACGATTTCAATTATTTTTTTGAGATAGTATAACGATTCGATTAATAAAGAAGGCACATGAGACAATTTTCAGGATTAAAATGTGATTGCCTTTTTCGGTCACCAACTCAAATTTTATGAAACAGTCGTACAGTTAAAAATAAAATCTTGAGAACATTATATGGAAATTAAAATAATATCATCATGAGCCAATTTATCTTAATTTTCACATGATGCATTTGCTATTGTCCCTGTATACCTCAACAACAGCCGGAATAGGAAGATGGGGCCCATCCTTAAATGGTCCATCAAGATGACGCCACGTGGATGTTTGGAGCAGGTGGCAGAAGCATAGGAGGGGATCTTTGGTGTGAACAGCTAATCAAAGTCCATGCGTAGCCAAGTGGCCGACCTTGTGCCTACGTAGAGACGCAAAGAAGATCCAAAGTAGCGTAAGCGCCAAACCCACCCATCCTTTTCTATTTGATCTAACGGCTCTAGACAATCTTCAGCCACCACAATTGATCTAAGCCGTTTAATTTCCAACATCACCACATTTGTTAATGAGCCTTGCCCCTTAGTCTAGGCGTTGTTTTGTTGTTGATTTCTAAGTTGCAGGTCCTTTAGGTTCTCTTCTCTTCCCCTCTCTCTCTACTTCTACATTTTGATCTCTAAGCTAATTTCCCTTCTCCGTTATCATCTAGCTGGATAAAACAATCACATTGTTTCTTTGAAAAAACGATCAATGTGGTAAATTCAGCTTTGAAAATGGTAATGTTGATCATTTACTCTCCTTCTCATGATTCTCTTTACCTTTCTTTCTTTTCTTTTCTTTCTTTCTTTCTTTTTTTTGTTTGGGGGTTATTTGTACTAATTTTTCTTTTGGGGGGTGTGGGGGGATTTTGTTTAATAGGATACAATGTTGGTGCCGTCATGGTTAGAGTCATTGCTAAGTACATCATTTTTCACTGTCTGCCGGACACATGGAGATGCAGCAAGGAGTGAATGCAATATGTATTGCTTAGACTGTGCAGGTGATCCATTTTGCTTTTATTGCCGTTCTTCTAGACACAAGGATCATCAAGTAATTCAGGTCGGTTTATTCACATTTTCCCACTCAGTTTTTTTCCTCGCTGTACCAGAAGTTCTAGGACAATGAGGCTTGTCTGTCTATCTGTCTAAGCCGGTTTTATCGTTTTCTGCAATGGGTTTTCTTGGTTTTGTTTGGCAATTGGTAGATAAGGAGATCTTCATATCATGATGTTGTGAGGGTTGCAGAGATTCAGAAGGTATTGGACATAAGTGGAGTTCAAACCTATGTGATAAACAGTGCTAGGGTGTTGTTTCTGAACGAGAGGCCACAGCCAAAATCTGGAAAAGGAGTTGCTCATGTTTGTGAAATTTGTGGAAGAAGCCTTTTGGATCCATTTCGTTTTTGTTCTTTGGGATGTAAGGTTAGCCTTTGCCTTAATCTTAACCTTAATGAATTATCAGTTGCTTCATACATTTACAAAATTAACTCGCATATATATATATATATATATATCACATTCTAACAATTCATCAGATGGCACTGACCCACATTCATGTATATACACCATCACCATCATAACCACCCACCATTCCTCATCATCATAGGTAGATACACGATGGCTAGTTATATTACCTTTCACAAATTAAACCTCTAGCATCAGCATTGTCACCATTTTCATCATGATACAATAAAATCAATAATAATATGGTTGATTATTATTAATTATGATGAATATGATATTGATTAATTATTTGAGTCTTTTTCTTTTTTTTTTGGGGGGGGGGGGGGGGGGGGAAGGGGGGGGAATGGGTGGATGGTTTTGTTAATTATACATCTTGTTTTGGTTTGTTTGACTTTTTGTTTAAAAACTTAGCTTGTAGGAGTGAAACGAAATGGGGATGCAAGCTTTACCTTAGAGGCTAAGAATGAGACATCAATGGAAAGAAGAGAAGGCATTTCAAGAGAGGAAGAAGAATTGCGTGAAGGCTCGCAACAAGACATATACCCGCCCACGCCTCCTCCACCTCCTTCAAGTGCACGGAGAAGAAAAGGCATTCCTCATAGGGCACCTTTTGGATCCTAGCTAATTTACCCTCTCGTAGTCATACGAACAAGTAGGAGCAGTAGTATCTTCAATCCAATCCATTATTTCTTGCGCAAACTACTCTCTCTCTCTTCTTTGGGGGTCTTTTTCCTAACTAAAGAATTGTAGGGTACCCCTTTTGGTTGGGGCGTCCAAAAAACAAAAGGGTTAGTAAGTTTCCCTTTTTAGTTTGGGTCCCATACAACAAAATTCTCTTGTGAAGATGCAATAATGCACATTTGTTATTCATAGTTGCAAGGTGTACATTGTGATTAAGAAATTAAAGCAAGTCTTTGTGGAGTCCGTTTTATAGTTTTCTTGGGCCCACCAACCACATGGGCCGTTTACATAAAGAAACGCCTACAGCTTTCTTTCCATTTGTTTAATTTAATTTAATTTAATACATCATCATGCATTGGGAGCAAATCAACTTTTCTTACAGCAAAATTGAAGAGCTCCATGAATCGATTCGTGGTCTTCTTTCTTCCTTTATCTTTTTCCTTAATGCAAATGTTACCATGAAAACTACGTGGACGAAAGAGACGGATCAGAGAGAACTAGGTTATTTTTTGTGGCACCTTCGCCATTTTAACCAAAGGAGCCAAACTATTAGGTAGAATGGACGTTCGATTGATAGATACTTCGATGGGGTTTTCTCATGAAGTGCATCTTCCGCATTTCAGCAAAAGTAGGTAAATAATAATCATGCTGTGGCTAATCTAATAATTAATAAATGAAAGAATAAGGCTTATTTCCAGCGCCACCTCTTTCTCTCTCTCTCTCTCACACACGCGCGCGCGCGCGCCTACATATCAATATCCTGATAAGGGACAACATAAGCACATGAAAAGTAATTCATCTCTCATATCTTGACTGCTCATCTGATTTGTCATAGAGTTCGATCATCGATGGATGATGAGCTTATGAAAGTTCTTATCTATTACTATAAATTGGAACGTGCCATATTTTGCAAAGTTGTCGTGTTGTTACGGTAGTTCGAAATACAACATTAGGACTCATTCATTTAACCATAGAGATAGAATTCAACAACTTGCATTCTATGATACAAATCATCAAGTAGAAAAGTACAGTTTTATTTTATAAGTTTAAATTATATGTATATTTAGTTTTACATACTTCAAGAAGATCGATTTGGCGATTACGATATAAATCTCAAATCAAATTGTGAAAAAAATAAAATTTTCATGAATTCTCTAATCCCCATATAAAATAATTTGTCTTTAATCACAACGACAATGTAAATTTAATCTGTATATAAAAGTTAGTCTAATAATATTCTTAACTATATATGTATAACAAACAAAAAAGTATTACATATTAAAACGTTGGGAAGTCATCGTCATGGTTGAAAATGCCATAATCAAAAACTCACATTGACATCTTCTTCTAATAATCAGTAGTTTCATCAATTTTTACGCTTGGCAATGTGCCATTTTAGCATGATTCACAAACAGGAACAGGATTTGTTAATTATCTTAGGCGGATGATCCCAATTTTGGATTTTAAAGGCTGCAACAATGAAAAATAATGCAAAATCCTACAACAATATCTAAAGAGTGCTACTGTTAACGGCATCATCAATCATTTAGTTAAATTAAAATGATGTAAATTCTATTGGAATAGAGTGGTCCAAGATGAACATTTAGGAAAGCATCACAAGTTTCGATTGAAAAATTAAACCAAATTATGGAAATTAAAATCGTACTCAGCACAACAATAAACAATAATAGATATAGAGAAGAGAAAGTATTTACAAAATCAATCATTAAATTTCTTCACATGAGCTCTGTTTTTCCTAATTGATTCTTGAACACTTTATTATAAAAAAAAACTAAACCAAAATATAAGTTTACTATTTATTATATTATTTTAAACATTATTCATTTTAAAGATATTTATTATGAAAATTTTTATAATATTACACTTTAGTCCTTCTTTTTTAAATATTATCTTTTTACTTTGTAAATATTTTTTTTGTTAGATTTTGGTCTCACTTTTATGTTTCATTTGGTTCATTTTGGTCCTTATCTTTTTTTTTCTCTCGATTCTGTTAATTAAAAATTTTGAGGTAAAAAGATGTTTTAAAAAAATAATGTATAAAATAATTTTTTAACTAAAAATATGAATAAAAATAAATAAAAAATATTTTTTAATAAAAAATTTATGAAAATATAATGAACAATTAATTAAATATAAAATTTTGATTAAAAAATAATAAAACTTAAATGAATTTTTATTTAATTTTATTTGATATATTTTAATAGATACATAATATAATATAAAATATAAAAATAAAATAAATTTTTAAAAATAATTTTATATATTTTGTTTGACCTATCTAGCATAACACGAATAAAAAATTTAGTATTTTCTATTATAAAACATGGGGTGGTTCTTCCATCTCCTGCAATCCGCCAATCCCGAAGTAAGAGGCATTACGTGTGGCCCTCTTGACCTGACTAAAAGACCGTGGGCCGACTCTGCTTGAATTCGAACATAGAGGCTTGGAGTGACTTGCGGGGCGATTCTTCTTTCTTGCTTGATTTTTGGTACCAAATGCCCCTAACTTTAAATTTGAAAGCGATACTCATTTTCCCAAGCTATATATTACACTGTCGCAAATAATTCCATTGACCTATTGAGAAATTTGAAAATCTGTCTTTCCCAAGAGCCATACCAATGGCCTCCTACAAGTGCATAAGCCCAGGCCCTCTTATAGCACCATCCAATTAGCTCCAAGTGAAGTTCTATGTGTTTGGCTAGGGGCAATCCATTTACGAGAAATTAGTAATTTCTCCATTTAATTGACGTTATCTGACATCCTAAGATAAAAATAAAAAATAAAAGAAAAAATGAGAATTTTACAATTTCAAGACGTTTCTATTAATCTACAGCCCGACATCACAGATAATTACCATCAGAAAAGCTTACAAACATGAGTCTGGATCCCTAATTTTTTTTTTAGGTATGAAAATATTTGGAAATATTCATAAAACAGAATTTAAAAAAAAAAAAAAAAAAGTAGAGGAGATTTGCATGAGACCCATCAACTGGAATTTAATTAATACGAAATAAAAGAATGAGATGGACATAACTCAATATTCGAAACCAATGAATTAAAGTATATAAAATAGGAGGGTTAATTAGCGAAAACTTTTTAGCAGATATATATTTCTTACAGAAACAAAGTTACAGAAAATGATTTTTCTTAGTAAGGAAGAATTACATTGGAAGCACCCCTGCCAATCCGCAATTGTGAGAAAGATCTCAATAACTTGGAAGACATACGATCAAGCTGCCTCATGGATCGGGTCCCCAATGATCCACTCTTTATGAGAACAGTGCCTGAATTAGATGTACAAGAAGAAGAAGAAGCCTTATCAGTACACCGTTCTCTTTGTATGTCAATAATAACATAAGATTGATCCATTGATAAAGATCGCTTCAATCCCATGGAACCTTGTGCTTTCTGGCCTTCCCTAGGCAACACTAGTGACAAACTATGTCCAAGCGAATGATTCGAGCTTCGAGAAGTACCGGAAGCATTGAAATTATGGTCATCACCATCACCTTGTTCACCTAGAAATTGATCAGTCGAATTTTGAGACTGATCTTCCACATGACCAATAGACCGATCGTGTACCTCAGAAGTACCGATAGGTGCAACTATTGGTGCTCGACAAACTGGACAACTTGTATGTGCGGAGAACCAATCATCAATGCATGAGGCATGAAACAAATGCCCACAATCAGGCAACAAACGTACCCTATCACTTTCCTGTAACTCACCTAAGCAAATAACGCACTCGCTTTGATCTACACGAAGCTGTAGCTCGCTGTTTTCTGTTGAGTAGCAGTAGATTGGGATTGCTTCAAGGACATTTTCCTCGACCCCTATTCCCACCTGACCTTCTTGCATTGGCCTAGATTGAGCGGTACTGGCCCTTCTTCTTTGTCGCCTCAAGCACAGTTTAGTCATTATGACATGGTATGCTACTATAACTAAAGATGTGGCCACTATGCCTGCAAGGGAGAGGAGGAGTGGAGTAAAATATCCTCCAGCTTTTGTTTCAGACCCTACACTCTCCATGTTTTATCAATGCATCTAATAACAGAGCTTGTACAATTAAAATTAAAGAAGAAATTCAATTTGTAGATTTATTGACTGTAGTCTTGTGAAATCTATAAGAGCTGGCGTTTTGGGATTTTGCTGCTGGCTGTTGTTAAATTTGAGGAATGGATGCGGTAAGGTTGTGATGATTAAAATATTAAACATGAAAAACAAGGCAATGGAAGAGAGGGAGGCACCAGGCGAGAAGCAGCTGTGTCTGTGTGGGTGTTTTGTTTCTGTTCTGTCTCTTCGGAAGAGCCGTGTGTTCAAACTTTAAAGTAGTGAAACACTTTGGTTGTCTCGAAGTGGAAGCTGGTTGTTCCAATAAAAGCGGGCTTCTGTGTTGAATTTGATTGCTTGAGCTATTCAAGGGAACTTGAACGTGGCACTCTTGGTTGTGGATACCCAAAAGTGTTTACTACTTTTGTGGTGCAGCGTTGGACAAGTGGAAAAAAAATATAGATATGTGCAGATACAAGTATATAGTAGTAGTATATGGTTAGTTGGTTACCTAATATGCTTCTTCCACTTATCAACTATAGTATTAATAAATAAAATTTGTGAAGATAAGAATTGCACAATGCCCTTATATTGCATGAATAGTTGGGAGAAACGAACTTTTTAACATTGTTATTAGGGAAGAATTATCTGAATTGGAGATATGCAGAAATATAATATGAAAGCTAAATAACAATATCGTAACGAAAAATGGAACAGAATTGCTTATAGCCTCGCATCATATGTACAGGTTGGACTCATCAAAACGAGGAATGGTAAGCAGTATAAGGATGTCTAGATTGGCTAAGAATTATAAGTTGGTCTAGCCGTCACTCTGCGACATTTTGTAGTTGCCGGACGGCGGATTCTGTTCGTTGCAGACAACAACATCGTTGACGTCGATTTCCAAAGCGGAAAAGACAACTGGACCGACCCTAACCTGGGCTCGGATATATAGAGGTCAGGATGACAGGCTTAATTGGCTATCAAGACCAAGCCCAGTTTCATTTGATGATCGACATGTGAATTAATATGGTCGTACTGATGCAACTTGTTGGAAAGGAATAAGCCCATCGATAAAATGTTTTAAGGTGTATTGGTTGATATAAATTAATCACCTCGACTTCCCTCTTTTTCTTGCCAAGTCAATTCAGAATCATTTTAAAATGGCACAAGCAAAAGGTCCGAGGGTTGCTGCAGTTATTATTCATTTAATTGATTTGATGATAGATGATTTAAGTGAAGAAATATATTTTATATGTCAATAGTTTTTACTGCATAGACGATAGTTTGGTTTATTATACATGTAAATTTACGTATAAAATTAGCTAGCTGGTTAGCTATTAAAATTTAAAAGTATTTATCTAAACATTTGATCTTTTTTTTATATATAATCGAGGAAACACATATCCACAAAATACAATAAAATAAATAAACATATTTATATCTGATTAGTATACGAATCCAATATGATTTCAGATGTATAAGATAAGTGGAGATACAAAATAATAATGATAATGATAATAAAACAATAAATTATATTTTCGATTTATGAAGATATGTTAGGATGGGTAGAAAATGCGCTCAAAGACACATTTTCAGGTTACATTTGTAATTTTATTTATATAAATTAAAATATTATTTGAGAAAAATTATAAATTAGTTCCTCTAATTTTGAGAAAAAGAATTAATTATTCCTCTATTTGAAAAATTGATTATTTAGTTTTTTTATTTTATTTTAAAAAATAGATATTATGAAAACATTGACAAAAAAAAGAAGATATTTTTTGAATAAAATAATATTAAATTAAGTATATTCAATATTGTTTAAAAGATTAGAGAATTAATTATGAAACATGATGTTCTGATTAATTCGTTTTATAAAATTGAAGGCACTAATTTTTTTTATTAGCTTAAAATGCATTTGTTTTAAATTTTTCAATTTTTTTAAGGGGAATATATATTTTTTTAATTTATAATTAGAAGGCCACATGCTTGAATCTAATTGATCAAACTTCGATTAATCGATACGGTTAGATCAAACTGTTTAATGATTATGGCAATTGACTCTATACGTTTAATTGTTAATAACTACCTTGTTAACTAACAAATGCTTTTAGAATACTAGCAAGCCTTTCCCAGGACCAATAGCAATACAAAAGATCTCATCATCTAACGAATTTCAATGTAATGAGACAAATGTGAATAATAATTACATGCAACTCTGTACAGAGATTAAGAAAGAAACCTAGCTTAACTTGCCATCTCTACAGAAGAAAAAACTAACTTGTCCGATCCTTTTCATTTTTCCATCAAATTTGTCCGCTATTTATTGGCTGCCTTCTCATGCAGACAAAAGAAGAAAATCTAATGCGGTGTCCCGATGAAGTGAAAGTGTGTAGCACCATAGATCACAGGAAAAGACACTAGCTCCTTCTAATGTCATCTTGAGTTTCTCTCTGTCTAACTCACCACTGGCTTATAATTTTGAGTCTTTTTAAGGGAAAAAATAAAAAAAGGGACCTCAATAGCATAACACTCACTCCCATCCAATTTTGTGGATGGTGTCCGTTTTGTGCAATTCCGGCTACCGTGCGAGTGGGCTTCAGGGTAGTCTGAGAATGCATTACACAAAATCTTAAATGGTTGGGCATTGACATCAATGAACATAAGAAAAGGAATTTTCAACTGTGAAAAGTTATTTCTCTTCGAATGTTCCGAGAAGTGAAGCACTGTTAAACAATTGAAAGAGCTGGCATGATGCTCTGTCATTTAGCTCATGATCCAAGAAAGAAAAGTCGCACATCCCCATCTAGTCATTGGAATCTTATGTCTCTTCTTACACTCCTTAGACAATATGAGAGTGACAATACCAACCACACCTTTCAATTTCTAACAGATACCACACAGTTAGATTCTACACCTCAAACAACCCCACCCCCAATCTGAATCTTTTTAGTGAAAAAAATCATGTTGTCCAAATGTTTTGGCCTCCATCTCCATCTCCATCCCCACCCCCACCTCTCTTCCACCTCTTCAATCACCAAAAACTCGAGACTTTTTCTATCCTCAACTACAAAACTAAATGCAACACATAGCCGAAACCAAATTCACTCTTCCCTTCCGGCAAGAAAATACTCCAGGTTGACTCCAATGGCATCAAGCCAATCATCAAAAAACGATCAATTTGAGCCCGATCCAACACTCACCAATGATGATCTCAGACCAACAACACATGCTGAACGGACATATTCCGGCTGGGAACTGGCTAGTCTATGGATCGGTCTTGTTGTAGGTGTGCCAACATATTACTTGGCAGGTAGTCTTGTTGACCTTGGCATGGCATGGTGGCAAGGAATTGCGACAGTTGTTGCTGCCAACATAATCCTGTTAGTCCCATTAATCCTTACAGGTCATCCAGGCACTCATTACGGCATCTCTTTCCCGGTCTTGGCAAGATCTTCTTTTGGAATTCGAGGTGCACATATTCCTACTCTACTTAGAGCATTGGTTGGCTGTGGCTGGTATGGTATTGAGACTTGGATTGGTGGTCAGGCAATTTTCATTCTTCTACCAAAATTTATTAAAGAATATTCTTCATTTTCTCAGTTTTTACCTTGGCTTGGCACTTCTCGGTTGGAATTTGCTTGCTTTATTGTTTTCTGGGTAGCACAAATGACTATAGTTTGGAAGGGGATGGAAGGAATTAGAGAGCTTGAGAAGTACTCAGCTCCCATTTTAATCACACTCACTTCTTGTTTACTCATATGGGCTTATGTGAAAGCTGGTGGTTTTGGTCACATGCTCTCTTTGTCCTCTAGGTTGTCTTCATCTGAGTTTTGGGCTCTGTTTTTTCCTTCGCTTACCGCAAATATAAGTTTTTGGGCTACGCTTGCACTTAACATACCAGATTTTACACGATATGCCAGGAGCCAAACTGATCAGATTATTGGCCATGCTGGTCTTCCAATTTTCATGGGGGCATTTACGTTTGTTGGCTTAGCAGTAACCTCATCCACCAGAGTGATTTTTGGTCATGTGATATCTAGTCCAATTAAACTCCTTGAGCAAATTGGAGGGCTCACAACAATGATCTTAGCTATCATTGGAATTAGCCTAGCCACCATCACAACAAACATTGCTGCCAATGTTGTAGCACCAGCCAATGCACTTGTAAATCTTAGCCCTTCAAAGTTCACATTTAGGAGAGGAGCTCTTTTGACTGCGTTACTTTGTATTGCTTTTCAACCTTGGAGGCTTCTACAATCAAGCGAGAGCTTTGTATATACTTGGCTAGTTGGCTACTCAGCCCTCTTGGGTCCTATAGGAGGCATAGTTCTAGCAGATTATTATCTTATTCGAAAGACTGATTTAAGTGTGAAGGACTTATATTCTTCAAGTCCTTATGGGGCATACTATTATTCAGGGGGTTATAATTTGGCAGCAATGGCTGCTCTTATTATTGGGATTTTGCCAGTAATACCAGGTTTACTGCAAAAGGTAGGGCTTTTTTCTGCTATTCCAGAAACTTTCTTGGTCATCTACAATAATGCTTGGTTTTTTAGCTTTTTCTTGTCAGGTTTTCTGTATTGGTCTGTTTCGATTCTAACAGGAAACCAGAAGAAGTCACTGCCTAGAGATCCCCTCTTGCCTAGCGAAACTTGAGCACATAGGAAAATTACGTACTGTTTGTAAAGAACAACTATTACATTTTCTATTGTAATTTATCGAAAGTATCTGTATTTTGAGTTCTGAATGATGATTGAAAGTTGAATAGACATACAAATAAAACGATGATGCATAGATTCTTCAGTCACCGGTACAGCTTGTCATCTCATAAACGGCTCATGAGATGAGTGATATATGCAGTCGCATTTCTTATTACACGTACAGATTTCAAACCATTTGTAATAAATTCAAGAAATCTAATAATGTATGGAAATAAGATTCCATACCAAAGCATTAAATAAAAGTTCGCACCCACATTCAATAACTATGATAGTAAGAATTGCCGTTTATGTTTTACCGAAGCAATATTTAGTTAAGAATTAATTACATAGTTAGGTATACAAACTTGTTAATTTTTTTTATTTGAACGCTTTCAATTTGTATTTTTTTTATTAGAATGATTATGTTAACTTTATATTGATATGTTTGTTAATTGCATATGTGATACCGTTATGTGGACTCCATTGTCAGACTGTGACAAAAAAAAAAGTAAAAAAAAATCTTTTCTCTCGCCAAAATCCGACAAATCCCCACCAAGTCAAGCCTTTCTTTTCTCCTATCTCTGGCTAGCAGTGAGCCATCACCGCCCACAACACTTGTAAAAAAAAGGATCCTATTAACTTGTTCCGACTTAGGATAATAAGTTCATGAGCTTGATCTTACTTCACCATCAAGAAACAAGCATTATCTCTCCTTGAAAAGGAGGTGATCTAGCTGCACCATCCAATATGGCTACCTTGTTACTCCTTTTACTATATGACATTTATCTAGACAACATTTAGATCCAGCTTAATCTAAACAACATTCCCTACTTGTCCAACTATTACTGAACAGTTTTTGGATATTAAACGAACCTCTTCAAAAGATAATTTTAATGTGGCTGATTTCCCTTCTTTTACAATCAGTTTTGCTATAACACCTATAGCTCTAGTTAATTGTCTACGCCTTCCAAGTGTGATTTCTATGTTATTGCAAGCGATGAAGACAACAATAACTCTACAACAATAGATTCCTCTCTATGACCACTATAAGAAAATAAAGATTTAGCAACTAATTTTTAGCGATGGTTTTTAAAACCGTCGCTAAAAACCATGAATTAGCGACCATTTTAGTAAACAGTAGCTAATTTCATTTTAAGTGTTGTTTTTTAGGGACGGTTTTGAAAATGTTGCAACTTCGAGCCAAATTAGGAGTTTTTAGCGATGGTTGAGTAAAAACCATCGTTAAAAAATTATTTTTTTATTTGGCGACGAATTTAAGAAGATCGTTGCTAAATCCTCCCAAAATTGGTTTTTTTTTTTTTTTTTGTGATGGCCCGACCGGACCATCATTGATTCTATCCAAAATTTAGGAGTTTTTTTACAACGATCCGTGTAGTCCATCGCTAAATTCCCCTTAAACTCCGAGAGGTTTTTAGTGACGATTTTTATAAACTCGTCGCTAAAATCCCTCGAAATGAAGGTTTTTAGTGACAATTTTTTAGATCATCACTAATCTATTACGGTTAGGGGGAATAAAAATTTTAGGTGTTTGTTCGCTAAATTCCCCGTTAAATCGGGAGATTTTTAGTAATGATTTTCAAAACTATCGCTAAAATCCCTCGTAAATGAAGTTTTTAGCGACGGTTTCTCGGACCGTTGCTAATTTATTATCATTAGGAAGGAAATAGAAATTTTTTTTTTAAAAAAAGAATTTTAAGTTTAGTAACAGTTTAGCGACGGACTAAAAACCGTCGCTAAACACAAAATCCCTAACTAGGATTACGCCCTAATTTTTCCTTATTTTTTCTTCCCATCTTCTCTCTTCTTCTTCTTTGCCAACAACGCCACCACTCCTAAAAATCCTCCATTGATGCCGGTAGCCCCTCCAAACTCCCCTTCTCTCTTCTTTTCTTCTTCTTCTTACCTTCATGTTTCCCCTTTTCCTTATCCATTTTCTTCTTCTTTCTCTCCTTTCCTTCTCCTCCTCCTTTCGCTCCTCTTTCTCGTGAGTTGGCGGTAGCTCCTCCCTTCTCTCCTCCTCCATTTGTTTAGTTGGTAAATGATTTTTTTTTCTTTTTTTTGCAATTGATTTCAACACTTATATAATTGTTGTTTAATTATTTATTTGTTCATTGTAAGTTAGTTTAATTAATTTTCAGATTAGGGTTAATTTGTTAGTTGTTAATTAAATTAATTAATTATTAAAAATTAATTAGGTATTAGTTTAATTAATTAGGTGTTAATAAAGTTCTTTAGTTGTTAATTAAATTATTAAATTATTTAAAAAATTAATTAGGTGTTTAAATTAAGTTAATTACCTGTTAAATAAATTATTTAATTTTTTAAAAAATTAATTAGGTGTTAATTAAGTTATTTATGTATTAAAATAAGTTAATTAGTTATTGATTAAATTATTTAAATATTATTAAAAAAATTTAAATAGGTGTTAGTTTAATTAATTTGTTTGTTAATTAAGTTATTTAGTTGTTAAACTATGTTAATTAGTTGTTAACTAAATTATTTAAAGATTATTTAAAAAATTTAATAAGGTGTTAGTTTAATTAATTGGTTGTTAATTAAGCTAATTAGTCGTTAATTAAATCATTTAAATATTGTTTAAAAAATTTAATAGGGTGTTAGTTTAATTAATTAGGTGTTAATTAAGTTATTTTGTTGTTAAATTAATTTAATTAGTTAGTTAAATTATTTAATTTTTTAAAAAGTTAGGAGTTATTTTAACTAATTGGTTTTAATTAAGTTATTTAGTTGTTAAATAAATGATTTAATTGTTTAAAAAAATTAATTAGGTGTTAGTTTAATTAATTTGGTGTTAATTAAGTTATTTATGTGTTAAAATAAGTTAATTAATTATTAATTAAATTATTTAAATATTGTTTAAAAATTTATTAAGTGTTAGTTTAATTAATTTGGTTGTTAATTATGTTATTTAGTTGTTAAATTAGTTAAGTAGTTGTTAATTAAATTATTTAAATATTGTTTAAAAAATTTAATTAGCTTTTTAGCTTAATTAATTAGGTGTTAATTAAGTTATTTTGTTGTTAAATCAAGTTAATTAGTTGTTAATTAAATTACTTAATTTAAAAAAAAATTTAAGTAGGTGTTCGTTCAACTAATTGGTTTTAATTAAGTTATTAATTGTTAAATTAAGTCAATTAGTTGTTAAATAAATTATTTAATTATTTAAAAAATTAATTAGGTGTTAGTGTAACTAATTGGTTTTAATTAAGTTATTTAGTTGTTAAATTAAGTTAATTAGATTTTAATTAAATTATTTAAATATTGTTTAAAAATTTTAATTAGGTGTTAGTTTAATTAAATTGGTGTTAATTAAGTTATCAAACTTCAAGTTGACTATACCAATAACTTAGCATTCGTGGTTTAGAAGCTACTAAAGAAAGAGGAATCAAAATGCTCAAGGTGTGTAATGACTCAATGCCGATAATATGTTAGGTCAAAGATGAATGACAAACCAAAGATGAAAAACTAAAGCCTTATCAAACCTACCCGATCAAGTTAATCGAAGAGTTTGATGAAATCAAGTTTACTCACTTATAAAGAGATAAGAATCGGTTTGTCGATGTTCACCTCGATTATGAAACTAGAATACAACCTATTTGCATTTAAGCTAGGAACTCATCGGCACATTATTGTACCATAGAAAAGGAAGTGGATGGAAAACTATGGTATCATGATATCAAGATGTTCATCAAAAGTCGAGAGTAACATTTAGGTGTCTTAAAAATAGATCAAAAAACCTTAAGAAGGATGGCTATGGACTTAATAGAGAGGTTATATACAAATAAAGCTTTGATAGTACATTACTTAGATGTTTGAATGAGATAAAGGTTAAGAAAACAATTGAAGAAGTTTATAAGGAAATTTATGCAACACATGCAAATGGACACACTATGACTTATCGGATACAATAAAGTGGATATTTCAAGGTGACCATAGAAAGAGACCGCATTGAATATGTCTATAGATGTCACAAATGCCGAGTTTATAGGGACAAGATCAATGCTTCTCCTACACCATTGCATAACATGGTACTCTTTGGCCATTTGTTATATGGAGTTTAGATTTCATCGAGCCAATTAATCTAAAAGCATGTAACGAACATCGATTCATCTTGGTTATAATTGATTACTTTATCAAATGGGTCGAAGCCGCCTCTTATGCTTATATCACTCGGAAAGGCATCCAACGAGTTCATAGAAAAAAAACTTGGTTTGTAGGCATGGTTCATCAAAAATCGTAATCATTGATAATGCTTAAAATTTTAATGGGAAAATTATCTCAAAATTATATAAGTAGTGGAAGATCAAGCATCTAAATTCACACCGTACAAGCTCAAAATGAAAGGTGTAGTTAAAGTAAAAATATCAAGAAGATCGTACGGAAAATAATGATCATATGCAAAGACTAGCACTAAATGCTCCTATATGCTCGCATGCATACCGTATAACTATAAGAATATCCATAAGAGCCACCTCGTATTCTTTGATTTACAAGATAGAGGTGGTTATGCTTTTGGAAGTAAATGTTCATTCTCTTATAATACTTATGGAAACCTAATTAGAAGAAGCCGAATGACCAGAATCAAGCATGAGCAATTGAACATGATTAGTGAAAAGAGGCTAGTTACTATCTATCACGCACAAATATATCAAAAAAAGATGGCTAAGGCTTATGACAAAAAGGTCCGACTAAGAGAATTCTAAAAGGGAGATCCGATGCTTAAAAAGATTCTATCGATATTCGAAGAAGACAAAAGTAAGTGATCGCCCAAGTATAAGGGTCCTTATGTAGTCGGAAATTATTCTCAATAGGAGCACTCCTTTTAGCTAATATTAATGAAGATAATATAGCTAAACCTCGTAAACTCATATTTAGTAAAGAAATACCGTGTATGAGATGTGTTATTCTTCTTTTTCA